TGAATCAAAAATTCATTAAAATATGTCCCATTATCAATTTATATTTTAATAGTATATGTGACCTATAAAATATACTGATCATAAGAGTATGATGTGTTTTACTGAATAATTACCATCTTCATTAATGACTGAATATAAGATGGATTTTTATCATCATAGTCACAAAATATGATTATTGTTGGCTAAATTAGTTTATCATCGTTTCAATACTGCTGTCAGAATGAAATGGACAGTCTTTCGAATGTAGCAAGTTCAAGCTGTATTATCAGTCCACAGGGTAGCTTGTGATCATAACCATATTCACACACGCCTCAGCTTAATCTTCATTTATTTGCTAATTCATGAATAACTATTGTTATGACCGGTATTACTGTCTCATGTTGATAATTGGTCTTTGTTGAATAATCTCAATATCCCTTTTCATACAAGTCAACATAATGTTATTTCATTATGTTTTCAACAATCATTTTATATGTAAAATATCTATCTCAACATTCAGCATTAAAAATTTTTACATTTACTTTTGTAAATATTTTACTTTACTAAAAAAAGCCAGAAGTTTCTTAATTTAATATCATTTTGATTCTGAACTTTCTTGATAATTTTTTCTAACTAAAAAAACTAGAGAAAAAAGAGTATATACAATTATGTAATTTTTTTATTGAAAAACTTCACAAAAAGTTTAATGGTGCATTTTAAATGATGTTGAGTTAAAGAATAAGCTTTTAAGTACTTAACTAAATTTTAAAAACAGAAAAATTATTGTAATGTAATTTTTTCATGAATAATACATTAAGAATTTGTTATTTCAAAAGAGAATGAAAAATATTTTTATGAAGTTGTTAAATAAATTGATAATTTTCGAAGCAGTTAAAAAACAGTTTAATTCTTCATTAGGATAATAATTATATTAACAATATGAAGTTCCACTAATTAGAACAATCAACGAGGGTTATTTTATTGAAATTCTATGATGTATAGCACAGTATTTTATTATTCTTTTTCTTACTTCAGTACGTGACTACGAGAAAAGTGCTGATTTTTTGAAACCCTTTTGTTATACACAATATCCGATAAGAATAATTGATGAAATATTAGAAACTCTTTTAGAAAATCAATTATCCTCATTGGGATTTTAAATGCAGGAGCAATTAACATTAATAATTATATGGATATAAAAGTTCCAATAACTGACCTTTAAACTATCTATTTATTTGTCTCACGTTTAGCCAAGGAAATATTCTATCGAGCTTGAGCTCTAAAGCAATGCGGGCTATGAATGAATATCAGAATGCAATAAGGCTTCATAGGGTCATTGAAAGCTCATTATTTGCATCAATTATTATACTGATTCATTAATTTTACAGCTAACCAAGTAGAAATTTTCGTCAGGTATGCCTAAAGACCATTGATATTGATTCTGATGATGATTTTATTATCCAATTAAAGCTTCATGTGAGCCCAGCAGTTTTAACAAAAATTCATACTAGTCAATTTGATGAATTCAAGACCATGTGGTATTTCATCATAAATATAATACAACTGTTCTCTACGTGAATCATTTTTGCTCAGTCAAAAATTCTGTCGAAGCGATTTATTATTTTTAGTATTCTAAATATTCTATTCACGTGCGCTCTATATTATATTAACCGATGGAAACTCATTCATTTTTGGAGAAAGTATAAAAATGAACAAAGCAAAATTTATTTTCACACGCAAGAAAAGGTAACGACGCAACGAAAAAATCGTTGTGGACGTATAAACTATTAATATTTTTTTACTTCCATTATTTTTTTCCCCTAATCTTGAAAGATACCCGTAGATCAGAATGATATTTTTTTTACACTTGAGTTGATTTTTTTATTTTTTGGTGATTGAAAGTGGAAAAATTTATATTTATGATGTAAATAAATCCATTAATTATTAGTGTGGAAAATATAGGTGTAACAAAGTAGTGTAATAATTTTATTTTTACGGAAATAAGTGAGTTACAAAAATGAATTTAAGAGATTTATTAAAACTATTTTTGAAGTTATAAAATAAAACCTGGAAACACGGATTTTTTCACCCAAAAATAGTGAGTCAATATATTGATTATTATTTCAAAACTTTATTATTCAGAATTAAAAATTTTTTTAGCTCGGAATTTTGATAATCCATTATAATTTGTTATAAATATTTTCAACAGACACAACAAGCTGCTCTTACAAGCCAGTGCATTTAAAGATTTTACAGTGAAAAAATGCAAATAGCTGGAAATTTGAGGGTCTGTTGAGGAGTTCAGCAGAAATCATTCCTCTAAAAGAAAAGGCGCTCCAACGCTGGCAAAGGATAGAAACAACCCCTTAAAAACTTGTTTCTTAAATATCTCGCGAACTATTAGAAATAGAGGAAAAATTATGAGACGTACGTGTAGATTTGAAAACAAACAGGCAGGAATACATGTATAAGAAAGAAAAAAAACATAAAATAATATTTAGGCAAAAAAGGAAGTCGCAGACGGCATAAAATTGACGTTTTCCTCTATTCACTAATAGATTATTTTATTTTTACAATTGAGGATAATTAAAGAACCATTTGAAGATCCAAATGATTGAATTTGTGTTTAAAAAATATCTCGCAACTCAGCATAAAAGAATGAGTTGATTGAAATATACAATTTTTTCTCTTTTTTGAAAAGTGACACACGAGTGAATGAGGGTTTACAGTAATTTATATAAAAAAAAGTATTTTAAATTATATATATTTCGGTTCAGCATGAAAAAATGAGTCGATTAATGTATAAAATTTTTTCCTTTTTTTTAACAAGTTACACAGTGATGACGGGGGCCCGGAGGAGGGGAGCTTACAATAATTTATATTATTAAAATTTCAATTCGAATATCACGTTGTTTTACTCTTGCAACAATAAAAAATTATCAAAGAAATTATATTTTTTATTAATAACCTCCATCAAAGGCATTCTGGTTTTTCCCTATCTCGTGACGTTCAGCCTGTAGTAATAAATTTCGCTTTGCAATCAAGGTGTTTGCTAATCGACGTATATTTATCACAAGTTTTTAAAATTGAAATTTTATTATTAAATTGTAATTCAAAAATGAAGTATTTCATACTATGTATAGTTATAATATATACTTATGTATTGTAAGCCTTCAGTTATCAGGAATTATGACTGGTGAACTCTTAAACAGACCCTTAAATTCCCAGCTATTTGCATTTTTTCACTGTAAAATCTCTCAATTCACTGGACTATAAGTTCGCCAATAATAATTTTAACATCATCACAAATGTCTGAGAATTTATTTGAAAATAAAAGAATAGTTGTGAACGTTTTTGCTAATACGGAAATGTTAAGCTCACAGATGGAGAGTATCAATAAAACAGAATTCAAGATTTAGAACAGATTAAGAGTTAATTGACTCGTTTAAATATTTCAACTTAATGTATCAAGTAATGGTATAGAATTGAAAATAGTGGGTAAAGAGTTCATACATAAATCTTGACTCAGAAATGTTCATTTTTTATCTCAATTGTAATTAAATCAAAAGACATATGAAGGTCACAAGTTGGTAAGAAAGTTGTTAATTCGGATGATTATTATTGATCACCGGATTCACGAGTAGGTCCTTGAGACAGGAAGGAGTAAAGAAATGTGAGAGTTTTATTCGTGGGAATTTTCGCAGCAGGGAAACGTGTCGTTCAATAATAAAGAAACAAACAATTCTTCAATAATCCGATCTAAATTGATATAGAATATTCTTGATAATATATAGGATAGATATAGCTAAGTTTTTCGGAGTTACTTCTTGGGATTAATCAAAAACTAGGATATTTATTTTTTCATGATATAATATTACTAGACGCTTTCATTAATTAGATCATCTGACGAGAATCTGTAGAAGTATATGATATATCAACTTGATATAATGATAACATTTTTTTTACAAATGTGAAAAATTTTTTCACTCTATTCTTTGGAAGTAAAGAAATATGGAAACGAAGATTACTGTAGGTGAATCTTTTGAATATTTTTAGACTTCAAAATGACATTAGAATTTCAACGACACGTTAAAACGATTGGAAACTTTTAAAAGGTTATAATAATTCAATATTATTAAAAAAAAGACTATTATGCTGAATTGAAATATCTTTATTATCAAGTAATGGATCAGAATTTAAAAAAATGGTGACATAATCAATAAATCAATTGCCAGAATTTCCAACGTGTAAAATTAAGTACAATTAAATGTGCGTTTAATAACTGAAAAATTATTAGAATTATTGAAATGTGAAGTTAGTTGATTGAGTTCGTATGACTTTGACTAGTATAGTTTTAAATTTTTATCATCAAAAGAGTGGCAGATTAATTTGCTCACATTTAAAAATTTATTTTAATGACAACATCAATTAGACATCTACTTCCAATATGTCCAGTTAATTCAATTAACATGCATCAATCACAATGAGTATTCGCGAAATGTTTGTTTCGTACTTTTCATCGTAAATAATTGAAGTGATATCAATAATTACCATCATGATATAGATCATGGTGATAAACAATTTATCAATAAAAAAGTGTTAACTATTTATGATACATCCAATATCCCAATCTTTGTATTTTATTCATGGATAATTAATTTCACAGTACTATCACTTCATGTTAGCATTTAACCACAGGTTAACAAGCTCCTATTTGGTATGGTGTTCTCTCATTTGGCAAATCGTTTTGAGCTTGATAACTGATGCAGGTGATGCATCATGTGATTCACAAACTGACTAATTTGACACTGATTATTTGCGGTCATTTAGAACATTCAGTTGAGTTCTAAAATTTCTGTGTTTATAATTTTCTGTGAGAGTATAGTAGGCTATAAGTTGGCTAGACACAAGAGAGAATGTTAAAGATACCTCCGAAGCGAATAATCATTAAGAGTAATTAGCATTAATTGAGCTTCAAGTTAAGTTGACTATTTAGGTTTTCATTGCAGCATGTGACTTACCAAAAAAACAGAAGAAAAAGACTATTGAGTAGAGCGTGATGAAGATGACTTTGATGTCAGTCCTGTCAAAAGTGTAGGTTTCATAGTTTGTTGAATTGGAAAAGAACCTGTAACTTTCGTTGAAGTCATTGATGGTATCATTTCTGCCAAACATTTCACGTTCTTGAAGCATTCTGAAAAAATTCAAAGTGTCTTTATATTAGAATTGAACAGTCTACTTGGAATTTGAAATGAATTTCCAACAATATCAATTTAAATATAAAACGAAGTTATTAATATAATATTAGATCATTTTTCTTCATTGCAAACTATATATCCAGTTCATAAAATGGAAGAATGATTGGTTCTTTCATTCTGAGACGTTTGATCACGTGTATAAATGTACATATATGTACGTCTGTCTGACTACATTACTTGGTAAAATGAAAGTAAAAATAAAACAACCTAGAGCAATTTTTTGAGCTTATACATGGGGAAAAATTTTTTTTTACAGCCTAAAGCTACAATCTCCAGACGCTCAACAGCTCTTTCAAACTTTAATTACGACCAGTCAGTAAAAAATTTCAAATTCTTTCAAACTTTTTAATTTTTTATCGTCTTTAATTTATCGTGTACAGTCAATACCATATTTACTTCAACTTACAAAAGAAGAAAGCAGTTTTTCTCAGTAGTAATTTAAGTATTCTTGTCGTGTAACAATGCTTAATCGGATTTCATGGTAATCCAAATGCACTACACCACTAGTACGGGTTGCACTATTCGCGAGAGAATCGTCACTCGCTTTCAAGAATTAACATTCGTCCGATATTTACTGGTGAGATAGTAGGTAAATTTGTATTTAAAAGCATCGAGAGAAACCTGAGAATATGTTTACTGATAAGCTACTACAATAGTATCAACTTCTATTATGTACTCTAAAACTTATTCTAATAAACGAGCACGGAATCTTCACTGATAAACTATGTAAACATATTACCAATTATAACAACGGTTGGGTTTACTTTTGAATTAGTATGCTATTATAATATTAGGAATATTCATAAGTATCAATATACTGATGATTTAGACTAAATAACAAAAAGTTATCATCTTAACTAAAATTGTTATTATTATATCTCGATATGACCATTATATTTAACATGATGTCAAGGCAATATTTTTCACGTTCATAAATACGGATAATTATCTATTTATTACTATCATATGAAGAATTTTCTGCTAGACAGAAATGAAACAGTTTTAAACTGCATTTTTTATTAAAATTTTTAGGAGTTCTAAATAAAAGTTTATTAAATGCTGCAATCATTTATTTACTATCGACGTAGTTTTATTAGTTCTCTAAAGTCTTTTTTTTACTTTCGCTACAGTCTGAATTTATTCGGTTTTGTCAGACAACGGTGAATACACGTCAGGAAATACTCAAGTAGTACGACTCAAGTAAGGGTGATAGCGAAAAAACACAAACCACTGATTGACAGATTCTCAATTTGAATTTATTTCTGATGTAAGAAAGATTTCAGTTTAAATGAAATAAAAAAAATTAGGTAAAGTTTGTTATAGTAAATTAGAAATATCTTTTATGAAGAGAGTTTAATTATAAAATAATTTCATGTCATTCATTATTTATAATCAGTCATCTATCTCTTATTATTAAAAAATTACTAAAAATGGTTTCGTACTCAGCGAGTGTATTCGTATACTCAAACCCCAGACCGCACTAATTCGCCAATGCCGAGTACAAAATTTTTTTTCATTAAAATTTAATAACTCGTTGTGAACAATTTTAATTAAACTTATAAAAGACAAGGAACCATAAACAGAAAAAATACAAAAGCCAAAATTCGTTTAATCATTTTCATTTATTTCTTATAAAATAATATATATTTAATACAATAAATATTTGTGATAATGTGTTTATAACATTAGAAATTTTTTCAATCATTCATCTCTAGGAATACATAAACCTGGATGGTATTCATCGTAAAAACAAGAAAAACACAAATTTTGTCGACAACTTCGTTTATTTTCATAAATATTTCTTGATGTTCAGATAATGAACGCATACCAAGCATATTTGATCATTTTTGAAAAAATTTGGAAATAGAGCTGATGATAAAGAATTATTTGAATTTTAATACTATGTTTACGGAAATGAATTACCCGGTTTTCTTCAATTAATTGCGAACAATTTTATATTTTTTAAATTAAATTTTTGACTTGTCTGTATAAGTAAATATTGTATGGATGTATTAGTTGAGTACAATTGAAAGGTATTACTTTGATAGTACAAGTAAGCATTTCCTCATTATCTTGGAAAACTTCATCATACATTTCGAGCCTCGTTTGTCCTTTCCAAGAATCAATGAGAAAAATAAATTTTTCTTTGCCCACATCAGATTTTAGGTATTTTGTGAGAAAGGTATAATATAAAGACGTTGTGAGTTTTCCATTTGCGTTTAACTTATAAATCATTATGCATACCTGTTTGATCCGTATTTATTAGAAATTCTGCGTTGAAATTTTGTATCAAGCGTAGTTTGTATAAAGAAAGTTTCCGCGGAAGCTAACTCTTCTTCAATAGACAGGGGTTTCTTTTTAGATACGTATTTCTTAGCGATCTTACGTATTTATTAGTGATCTTACGCGAACGAATTCCATGTTTCTGTTTGAAATTTGTCACTTAACGCTTTGAGACTTTAAAATCAAAATCTTCAAATTGTGCAGCAGCAGTCAATGCCTATTGTTGTAAATTTTTAGCTGTAACTTATTGAGAGTTTAAGTTTTTTATACGATTATTAATTCATTCATTAATCATTGCATATTAGATAGTTCTTCCTTTTTAATATCCTCCTTTTATTTTAAAAGATACTTTCTTTTTATAAACGACTGCATCGTTTTTTCGGTAGAATTGCCAAACTTCATGAAGGTTGTGCCTGAGCAAATACGGTCGCATGAATTAATTTTTTATCGTGAATTAATTGTTTTTCGTTCAGAATTTCCAACATCTTATTGTACAATACTTGGCGAATTCATATTGCATTTTCAAGAATTGTAGGTGAAGACTCCGATGCAATTAAATTATTTTCAAAATGAAGACTTTTACAATAGATTACTGTATTCTTCAATAATAATTTTAACTTATCACTGAAAAATAAAATGTTATGAATACAAGAATTTGTATTTTGTAACTTGAGTTTATTTTAAAAATGTTTATTTACACGTGAATGTTACAAGAGTTGATACATTTGTCATTATAATTAAGTGAAGGTGTTCAGGTTGTCTTGAATCTAACCCCGGAAAACTTCGGCTCGTCTTTTCCGAGCTCAAAGAAAGCTCGCATCTTTTCCCTTGGGACTCATCTTTACGGCCCAATTTCGGCGTCTGGGTTTCAGATATAGGGACAACTCTAGTGTTTATATGGTCCCCAATCGTCGGGAAAACCTTCTTGTAAACCTTATCTGACCCAAATCTTCCCGAGTACGTTCTTTACATGTTTTTTTTATTTCTAACACATTAAATTCTGTGTGATAGGAACCACATGCAAATTTTAAATTTCCATGTGTTTAATGTTAAAAAGTTACAAATTACTAAATTTGCGATTTAATAATTTATAAAAGTTTAAAAGAAATTGTTTACAACGAATTATTAAATTAAGAAAACTAAAGAATTGTTTTTCTTGACAATGACAAAGTAGTGCGCTCGAGGGTTCGAGTATATGAATACATTCACTAAGTACTAACTACACGCGGAATCTCCGTTCGATTTGAGAACCCCACACCCTTGCCATCTCCGTGTAAGTCCTTTCGTGTGGTTTATTACTAAGTTGTTGAGATTAATTCAGAAAAGGGGCAGACGAAATGACTAATCTTCCAATGAATCAAACTTGCAGGTTTTTATCTGCAAAAGAAAATACTAGAGAAGTATTTTTATGTTTATTTATCAGTGCCACGATACTTTATATGAAAGTAAATCAAAATTCTTTGGAGCTTTTGGAAAATAGATGATTCAATCAAAGTGTATTGAATTAGATTAATATCTGAAGAAGTTATTTTAGGCTACATGCCTGTGCATACCTATCAGTAGATGAATATAAAACCATTGAAATATAAAAACTGTTTTCATTTGAATCCAAGAGTACGAAAAAATTAAAACAACATTATACCCGGCGTATTTACTTTCTATTTTCAATCGATCGAGAACGTACTACAAAAAATAGCATAAATTCATCAACAGAATACTACGCTAAACAATCAGTTAACTGAAAATTTATTAAAAAAAATTCTATTCTATGAATTTAAATTATTATCATAGATATTAAAATAATAAACTTGTCATTTTTCTCTGCAATACTTTGAATATAAAAACTGTAAGAATGAACAAGCCAGCAATAATTCCAACGATTCTAATTAAAGTTTCAGTAGCTGGGTAGTTTATTCTTTAAATAATATTACAAACAATATAATTTAAAAGGGTTATGTTACAAAAGAACTTAGTTAAGACAATGACATTGGAATTAAATAATTTATGGATATAAAATAAAAAACCAAAATAATTAAATATCTAACTTTTATAATGAGAGATAATGATCATTATTACATTATTAAATGAATCGTATTAGATTTAAATACATAGGCAAACAATTCTAGTATAATAATGTTTGACCTGGTCGAACGACTGAGTTTCAGTGATACGAAAAAGCAATTCAACTTCACGGAAACAACAATCAATACTATTACAATTCAACAGCGTTTTCAGTAACTTTTAAGTCTAATTTGATACATCACAATGATTAATGTTATTCAGTAAATTTCAAGTAATAATAAAGGAAGGAAAATTAAAAAACTACTGTAGATTTTTAACTAAAGTGTAGATGTTGATTGAAAATTAAATTCTTTGACAATGAAATGGTAAAAAAACTGTAAACGATCGTAATTTTATTGGTTTTATTTTTATCTTACCATTCTACCTATTGAAGCACGTAATTGCAATTCAGACAACGTTGATTGTTTCTTCCAATTAATTTACTCCGAAGCCATCTCGATTTTACTAAAGAGAATCATGATTGTTGATTCTATGAGACATTATTAAAGTCCAACCTTTGTCACCGGGTAAAGTAATTAAGATTATCAATTAAACGTAATTAGAAACTCTTTGTTAAATAGTTAAATATATA